CAGGGCTGTCACCTTGCTACGTCGGTGGTTGGGGTGCCATGTACGAAGGAGGTGAGTTCCCAACAAGTGCTGGTGTTCCCCAAGGGCAGGCACAGCATGCTGTCGAGGTGGGACTGGGCTACCAGGAGAAGCCAATGGGACGTACACTTGTAGAGAGATGGCCTTAGCCCATTACCCAAAGCAAGACAGAAGGGAAGCCCCTCAAGACCCAAAGCCAGGACTTGGGGAAGGTGTTCAGCCACACAGGGATGCAGAAACAGCAACGAGCTGCCAGATGCCGAATCCTTTTCATATCCACAGCTCCAGAAACACCTCACATCCTTCAGGAGGCCCCTGTCCACCTCATTGACAACCACATCTGCAACAGCAGCGAATGGTACGCAGGGGTCATCGTGGACACTCACGTGTGTGCTGGCTATCAGGAAGGTGGCATCGACACTTGCCAGGTAGGAAAGGACAGCACGCCAGAGCACAACGGCAGGGAGAGCCCTGCCACAATCCCCCATACAACCCACCAAGCAACACCTCACACTTCTCTCCTGCACTGCAGGGTGACAGCGGTGGCCCCCTCGTATGCAAAGATCCAGTTGGCGAGTACTATTGGCTTGTTGGTGTCACCAGCTGGGGATATGGCTGCGCAAGAATGCAACAACCCGGAGTCTACAGCGCTGTTCAGCGGTATTACAACTGGATCTTGAGCCACATAAGCACACTGCAAGAATCATCACGGAGATGGAGTCGTTCATCCTCTGGTTTCAGCCAACTCCCTAGGCCAAGGCCAAAACAGTCACGGCAAGAATCATTACGGAAATGGGGCCATTCATACTCTGGCTACAGCCAATACCATAAGCCAGTGCCAACACAGTCAGTCCAGCCTGATCCCTGCCCATACCCAACCCACAAGCTTGTGGAATTTTTTACTGGGGTGCAGCAGCTGCTAAGCATCCTAAAGGGAAATAAGCCCTGAGCAGGACAAACGGGATCCGGGGCAGCGTGTGGTAACCATTTTCTCCTCTGGCAACGCCCATTGAGCCAGAAGAACCCCAGGGCCAAAGGCTTGTGCTGCCCTGCCCACCTCCCCTAACCTTGCGACTGACCACAAACCCTGAACCTTTACTCAATTCTAGAAATAAATTTGCCTACTCTCAGAGCTGACCTTGCCTCAGTCCAGTTCCATCTTGAGGGCATGGCTGGGATTTCCACAGATAGCACCTGAAAAGTGAGCCTGTGTGCAGCCAGTTGCCCACAAAGGCAAAGAGTTGCCCTGGAAAGGTGATGGAGCAGCTCATCCTAGAGACCATCTCTAGGTATGTCAAGGAAAAGAAGGTCATCAGGAGTAGTTGGCATGGATTCACCAAGGGGAAGTCTTGTCTGACGAACCTGATAGCCTTCTACAATGAGGTGACCGGCTGGATGGACGATGGGAGAGCCGTGGGTGTTGTCTACCTTGACTTCAGGAAGGCTTTCGACACTGTATGCCATAACGTCCTCATAGGAAAACTCAGGAAGTGTGGACTGGACAAGTGGACAGTGAAGTGGATTGAGGACTGGCTGGATGGCAGAGCCCAGAGGGTGCAGATAAATGGGCCCAGTCTAGTTGGAAGCCTGTGGTCAGTGGTGTCCCGCAGGGGTCCTGCACTTAGGGGAGAATAACCCCGGCACCAGTACAGATTAGGGGTTGACCTACTGGAAAGCAGCTCCACAGAGAGGGATCTGGGAGTCCTGGTTGACAACAAGTTAACCGTGAGGCAGCAACGTGCCCTCGTGGCCAAGAAGGCCAATGAGATCCTGCCCCACATCACAGAAGTGTTGCCAACAGGTTGAGGGAGGGGATCCTCCCCCTCTCCTCAGCTCTGGTGAGGTCACACCTGGAGTATTGAGTGCAGTTCTGGGCCCCCCAGTACAAGAAGGACATTAAGCTTCTTGAGAGGGTCCCGCACAGTGCCACAAAGATGATGAAGGGACTGCAGCATCTATCGTATGAGGAAAGACTAAGCAAGCTGGACCTGTTTAGCCTACAGAAGAGAAGATTGAGAGGAGATCTCATCAACATGTGCAAGTACCTGAGGGGTGAATGTAGGGAGGATGGGGCCAAACTCTTCTCCGTGGTGGCCAGTGACAGAGAAGGCGTAACGGGTGCAAGTTACAACACAGGAAGTTCCATTTCCATGTTATGAATAACTTCTTTACTGTGAGGGTGACAGAGCCCTGGAACAGGCTGCCCAGAGAGGCTGTGGAGTCTCCTTTTCTGGAGATCTTCAAAACCTGCCTGGATGCCACCCTGTGCCACGTGCTCTGGGTGTCCCGGCTTGTGCAGAGGGGTTTTACTAGGGGATCTCTAGAGGTCCCTTCCAACCTTAACCATTGTGTGATTCTGTGAAAACTGGGAGCCAACAGGAAAAAGCTACTGGCTGTGGGTTATTTGGAAGAAGACTACAGTGGAGAAAGGAAGAGGTCAAGGGAGATGAAGGGGAAGTATAAGAACGGGAAAATGGAGAGTGTGGGGGAATAAAAACGCCAGTCATACATAAACAGACTGCTCAACTACCTGAGCTTTGCAGCTAATCAGCAGTCTGTTAGCTTTTTTATAAAATCTATTTGAAATCATTTTCTGTGTAGCTCTGCTCCGTTCCCTGTGTGTGTGTGTGTCAAAAGGCCTGCCTGCCAGCACCAGGAAAACAGAACACAGGTCTTAGGGTCCCACTGGCCTGGGAGCCAGGAGTTGGAAACACCAGGCATCTAGGGCCAGGTACTGGGAGGATCCCTCTGTGCATGTGCAATTCACAAGCAAATGTCAAGTTAGAAGAGCACATAGACAAGATGAGAGGCACATCTGGAAAAGCCCAAGGTCTGAACTGATGACTAAGTAGTCTGGCATCTGGGTATGGATATTAGAAAGGCTGAGTGTCCTTAATTAGCCTTAATGGTAATATTCAAGTGATCGAGGAAGTGAGCTGCTTGCAAGTTTAAGAAGTAAGGAAAATGTTTATGCTTCACTAATGAACATCAATCATAGAATCACAAAATGGTTAAGGTTGGAAGGGACCTCTAGAGATTATCCAATCCAACTCCCCTGCTCAAGCAGGGACACCTTGAGCATGTGACACAGGGTCACATCCAGGTGGGTTTGCAATATCTCTAAAGGAGACTCCACAACCTCTCTAGGCAGCCTGTTCCAGTGCTCTGTATCCCTAAGAGTAAAGAAGTTCTTCCTCATATGCAACGAAATTTCATGTATTTCGGTTTGTACCCATTACCTCTAGTTCTGTCGCTGGCCACCATCGAGAGGAGTTTGGTCCCATCCTCTGAACATTCTCCTCTCAAGTATCTGTACATGTTTCAGCTGTAGAAGAAAAGAACTTAGTTATGTTCACGTGAATGCTGTTCAAGAGCGGTGTCTTCTCCAGTATCCGTGATTATCTAATAATTGTTCTAATCAGTTTTGCGAGTCATATGAGTCGAGTATGTGTGTGCATGTTTAAGGATGTATCTGGCTCTTTGGAATACATATTAAGCCTTTGGATCCATACATTGGAATAGCAGCAGCCATCTGCATCAGACTAGGGTGGGAGAAACTTTCTGGTTTGAGAGTCCACCTCATTCAGCTCTAGCATGCCTTAAAAGAGAAATTCCCTGAGTCCAGCAGTGCACTGGATTTGGCTGCTCCATAGCAGAATGGGAAGGGAAACACAGAGAAACAGTGCAGCAGAGACCAAATGGGTGGAGGGAGAGGTAGCATTAGATAAGCTATAAAGCAATGGGGTGCTTGGGCAGTTTGACCCATGTTTTGCAGGAACTGGATGCCCTATAACAAAAGTGCAGAACCAAGCTCAAAGCTTTATAAAAAGTTCTTCTTTTTTTTCTCCAGTAGGTACTATTAAAGCATCTTGACAGGACTCTTCCCTGCAGATCCAAAAGTGGCTCAGCTCTTCCAGCAAGCTCAGCCTCTACTGACCATGCCACAACCAGCAACCATGTGCCTCTTCTTGCCCTCTCCTTGACCACAGTGTGCAGGGGAAGCAGGGCCAGGTCAAGGAAGGTCATGCCCAGACAATCACTGCAAGAAGGAGAAAGGCCCAGCTGTTCACCACCAGAGTATCAAATGGATGAGAAGACCACTTTCCTCCTTGAAAGCCAGCTCTAACTAACCCCAGAAATCCAGAGAAATGGGAAACAACAAACTTGGGATCCAAAGTGTTAAGCGGATGGGGGCTTCTCTTCAGGGCAATTCTCCTCTGTTTCTGAGAAGTCCTCACTCTTCTTCTGTAGGTCAAAGCTCTGAAAAGGAGCAAGACAAGAAACTCTGAGAAGCATGAGAGCAACAACCATGTTCTGTTTTGCTGTGGTATTTACAAACTCTGTCTAGGACAGCATGAGCTCTCCTGAGTGTCACCACCACCTCGTCCATTCCAAACTAGACATGGGCAACACACAAACCCCATAGTATCACCAGCATAAAGCAACTCTCTTCAAGCAAGCAAAGTTTCACCCTTTGATGCATGCTCTCAGTTTTCCCTGAGGGGAAAAAGGGTAGAGCTGCTAAGCACTTAGGAGAGGGAAGAGTGCAGTAAGTATACAGTTTTCTTACCTCTAGCTCTCGCATCACTTCATCCATGAAATCACCTGAATTCTGTTTGTAAACAATTGCCAGTTCAATAGCATCATTGAAGAGCTGATGAAAAGGAGAGTGCTTGTTACTCAAAGTAAAGGACGCGGGGTTTCATCAAGACAGGGAAACTGTCTATTTCCACACTCTAAGGAAAAATTCTGCAGCAACCTATAGCTACCAGAACCATCATAAGTAACCATCCAGAAGTGATAGCCCCTCTTCTGCAATCTGTGCCTTCAGCAATCTCTATGTCATCGGACTGTATTGAACTTTCATGGACCCTGAGTCAAATAACTGTGTTTTACCTTCACTACATTAGTGCCATCTGCAGCAGACACAAAGTAAAAGGGCAAATTGTATTTCCGGGCAAAATTGAAGCTTTTCTGGGTCACCTTCATATCCGCTGGAGGAAAAAAAATAAAAAGCATTCACTGAGACATCATCGTAAGAGTAGACACTGTAGGCAGAATGCCAGCATAGGCATGGGTTGGTGGAAGAGAGCCTGATCTAGGAGTTAGGGTCTCCTCACTGCAATGTTAGGCCAGGACAGTCCTCCTCAAGATTCAGAGGATTTTAAAAGTGACTGCATCAGCAAACAGTTGACAAGAAAATACACAAAGGCAAGAGTTTTTGTTGTTTGTAACTAAAACACAGATGGATTCTGATGTACTGTAAGTGAATAATGCTTTGCAGCAGGAAAAAAGCAGTTCACTTGCTGAGTGTAGCTGTGAATGTTTTCCAGATATACGCATGTGAATTTTATTGTGTCCACATGATCTGACCCAATATCAATCATGCCTCTCCCTCCACTTTGCACTTTTTAAGCATATGTGGTCACTATCTTTATGGCACATTGCCTATATTCCTGTGAAGCAAGGATAGGCTCACAACACAGAAATGGCTCCACTGATATATATATAGGTCTGTCTACTCTAACCTCAGTAGGCAAGTTTTTTTTTCAATTATGAAACAAATCTACAAGATACCTACAGGCCATGTTGAGACAGCAGTATTAGCTCAAAGTTTTGATAGAAAAACAGTCTGTATACCAACATATAAGGAGAATGACTCCAGACTATCTGTCTTTTCTAATGGAAGCAACAGTAGAAGTAGTTCAGACTCCAAAAGCTTGCCAGGGAACATTGCCTAGGGAGATGTTCCCTACCTCCTTGCAGAAAGCAGGAAGCTGGATAAACGATTTGGCAGGCTGGATCTATGCTAAGAGCTGTAGACTGATTATTTCCTTATATTAGTGAAGTACAGCAAACAAAGCACGGGAGAGAGTTTCCTGAAACACTCCCTATTCTCACATGGAAAAACTAAGAGCAGGATTCACCTACACAGATGCAGTGTTTACAATATGGATTCCCATATCAGGTCAATTTGCCTTGGAGTCCCTGCACAGTCAGTGGATCCAAGGCTATCTTGACTCATCCTAGAGGAAAATCTTCCACTAGGTAAGATCAGTCATGCCCTAAAACCCACCAATGTATATTCAAGAACTCATCTGAACCAAACAGACAAATGACATTTTGTCACCAGCCAAGTCAGAAAAGAACCACATCATAACCCTGAGAAGATGAAAATATATACTCACCATCAATTTTGTTGGCCACTACAATACAAGGTATCTCTGGGCGGAACTCTCTCAGCTCCTTGTACCAGCTGCTCAAGTTCTTGTAGGTGACTTTCCGCTGAACGTCAAACACCTTCCAAAAGAGAAGCAGCTATCAAGTGGCCTATAGCAGGACAGTTCCTGATCAACCCACTTCACCAAGCACTTGTACAGAATCAGAATTTGCCCTGTTCTGTGTTCTCCCAGTCTTTATTTAAGGATATAATACTGCAAACACAGCAAATGAAAGGAAGATCTGGAGAAGGGTATTCCAACTGGATTAAAAGATTTGAGGTAGCATTCCTTGGAGTGTCCTACGAATCACTTACAACTGTTTAAGCAGGACAACAGTAGAAACTGGCCTTTCGTAGAAAGGATGAAAGATAAAAAGGAGAATCCCTAGCAAGTCTTTAACCATGCAGTCACTAATTTCTTTGCACTATGTTGTCAACAATCTCTATATTTCTTTTACATTCTTATTTTGCACCATGACAAGCACTCCCACCCATGACAATGAACAAGCACTGAGAGAAATCTATAATGCTAAGTAAGGTCAGATGTGAGGCTCCTCTAATTTAACCTTTACATTAAAATATCAGTGAAGTTGACTGATGTTCGCAAATAATGACAAATAGGGAAAAGTTAGAGCAGCAGTACAGTGCAAGAGACCTAAGTGGTTTAGAAAGAAAAAAAAATGAAAACAAACAAAAAAAAACCCAAAACAAGACTTGAGATGTAAATATGGAAAGCTGCCACATAAGTAAAAACAGAAAGAGCAGAAGATCAGACAAGCATGTCTTATGTGGTGCCTCTGCAGAACACATCAGAATAGTTTTGTACTGCATAATCCAAAAGTCACATTGCAGAATCAGAAAGGGATGTCCTTTGTCTGTCACTTCTGACAGGAGGTCATGCTGCAGGTTCAGTTTTAGATACCTCCTTGCTGGAAACACAGCGACTACCATAAGCAAATATAGAAGAAAACAAACTCAGGGAATGTAGTAAGGATGACATCAGGAAGACAAAACAAGGTAAAAACTCTCAACTACACCGGTTCTATCTGGTGAGGGAAAAAGGTACAACATAGGAAATCTTTTTAAGAAAGTAGAAGGGACAAAAAATATAAGGTAGTATAAATGACTTAATTAAATCCCACCAAATCATAGCTGAGAGACTACCCTTACCATGATACAAGCATGAGCCTTATGATAATAGGATGCATGCATGCTCTGGAACCTCTCTTGTCCAGCTGTGTCCCAGAAGTCTGTAAGACGGGAAAAAAAAAAAAAAAAAGAAGACTTTTCAAGGTCTACATCTCTCGCAACCTACACTCAAGGTGCAAAGCCAAGCCCATCTACTCTGGGTCACTATTGGGTTTCACCTCATTAATTTGAAGTAGTCCATGAGAATGAGAACATGGAAAACTAGAACTTCTTATGCTTGGCTAGGAGTTATGCTGACTGATTAACTGCAGCATTCCTACAAACACACTAGCAAAGGAGCGGGTCCCCTCTTTGGTGCCCCTAGTGGCCTGGCACCAGAGGTAGGAGACACCCACGCGCTGCCCGCGGTGCCAGTGCTCCCGCTTCCCTGTGGCTCAGGAACCGCTGCAGGGTCCCTTGCCTCCCACCGCGACCCCCGCACCCCGCGCATCCTGCACGCCGGTCACCCCCCGCGCCCCCCCGCCTCCACGCACCCCGCACCCTGGCG